TGGCCGCGTGGCCAGGAGCCGGACCCCTCCCAGACACACAAGGGCTTGCTTCCCATCCCGGTTGAAGAGCGAGGCGGGGGTTGGGCTCTGGCCCTGAGGAGTAGCCCGGCAGCGCTGAGGGGCAGAGAGCCGAGCTGGAGGGATGAGGGGGGAGCGGCCAGGCGATAGTGGAGTTCCTGAGGCCAAGGGAAGGAAGGAGGGAGGGAGAGCAGTGAAATAAGGACAATGACCTTCATAACAGCAGACAAACTCAGAGAACCAGTGTGTAAGGTCCCGAAGGAAGACAATCTTAGAGGAAAATCTTAGTTCACGAGAGGCGGGGGCAGTGTTTTCCCCAGGAATTGGAATTAGGAGGGGTGTTGGACTATTTGGATGAGGGCTGACGAGGGTTGAGACCGGGAAGGCAAAAGTGGGCTGTATGACACCACAGTAAAAACTGAAAAATGTTTCATGACGATTTTATTAGATTTAACTCATGTTTTAAAATCATCACAAAAATTAAAGTTGGCTACTCAAGCCTACTATGAAGCACTACATCTACATCCATCTTGATTTCTTGTTGTAATTTTGCACTCATTGGTGTCTTGTGTGTCTGTTACTTCCAGTCCTTCATGATATGCTCATGATCAGGCAGAAGTCGACTTCTTTCAGAACACAAAATTCTATTCATTGAGGGAAAAGAACACTCAACTGTAGCTGTTGTGACTCGGAGTATCAAGAGATGAATTCCTACTTCTTTCATCCCAGGAAACATAGCACAAAGATTGGGTCGAACCACTAGTGATGATAAAAAAGTTGAAGTTAATTCTTCATTCATTCGTCGTACGATATTCCACTCTGTGTTCAAAATTCTCTATTCTGTTCTGATCACATAGCAGCCCTGTTGCTGGTAGTGCCTCATTCCACACAACTGTAAGTGCTTTATAAGACCGGCATCTGTAAAAGCTACGTGGAGGTTGAGTAGAATCCAAAAATCACTATTGTAGATTTGTAAGAATTAAGTCTGTGTACTTTTTCAGCTGGCTTAACAAGCACTTCTTGTCCTCTTCACTGAAGGAGTCAATATAAGTACTTTCATTAGTTAACTTCTAGACTGAAGTCTTTGCTTCTTCCAGTACATTTTCAATGGATATCTTTCTGATTAATCCAAGGGTAGCTTGGACAGAGATCTACTACTGTTGTAGCAGATGCCTGGATGACATTGTTTAATGATCTAAGTGGTTTCAACAGTAGACATACAAGAGAGAGAATTGCGATAGTCTTCTCTGAACATAGCAACAAAAGTAGTCCACCAGCCTCGCTACTTAGATCTGTTTTATCTTGGTGGATACTTTCCAAAGCCAGTAATAATGGTTGCAGTAATTTTAAGACAACAGCCAAGAATCACTCATGAGAAAGCCAGCAGGTTTTCCCAGGTTGGACTCATTTGAACTTCAATCCCAGTGTATCTTCTATTTGTTTCCAAGATGCTCAGTCCTTGTGGACTCTTGCTGACAAAAAGAGTATAAAAAAAGCCATTAAATTTGTGGCTTTTTAATGTCTTTTGAAGATTCTGCAGCTTGTACTAGCGCTAGCTGGAGTAGATGGCCTCTGCAGCGTGTATAGGAGAGATTAGGGTTACACTTTTTTCTAGCAAAGCTTGTACTCCACTATGTCTTCCTTAGAAGTTTGTAGCTCCATCAAATGCACAAGCAGCCATCTGTTTGGGGTTCAGTTTACAAGCATTTAACTCTTCTAAGATGTCACAGATGCAGCTGATTTGTCTTCTATAACCTGAACATCTAGAATGCATCTACTGGCCTACCACAGACATCAAGATAACGTACGTAATGACTTAGTACTTGATGCCTATTTGCATCGGTGCATTCATCAGCCATGTATGCACATATTTTGAATATGGTGAGAGAGTTCTTCACTTTTTCAACTGCTGAGTCTTTCACTGTTCACTGCATGCTTCTAGAGAGTCAGCTGAGTTTTTTGCAGAAAGATAGTGAGCATTTACCAGTTTTATTCGAAACCAGTGTCCAACTTCAGGATTAACAAGTGACAATGCACTTAACATTGGCCTCCAGTTTGTAGTGTGTGGTATCTCTTGCTTAAATAGAAAGTATGATGCAACAGCCATGTTGGTTCACATAAACTGAGTTAAAACAACGAGGAGTCCTTGTGGCACCTTAGAGACTAACACATTTATTTGGGCATAAGCTTTCGTGTGCTAAAACCCACTTCATCAGATGCATGGAGTGGAAAATACAGTAGGCAGGTATAAATACACAGCACATGAAACTGAGTTGTGTCTCCAGCATTCTTAACAGCCTCATTAAGTTCTTTTAAAATTGGCTTTGATAGTAACTTTGATAAGGCTTTCTGCATGTTGATGCAGTCCAGAGGCATGGTGTTTTGGAGCCTTTTCATAAAGGTTGTCAGTATTGGCTTAGCTCAGGGGTGGCCACCCTGTGGCTCCGGAGCCGCATTCGTCTCTTCAGAGGTTAATATTTGGCTCCTTACCTAGGCACTGATTCTGGGGCTGGAGCTATGGATGCTAACTTTCCAATGTGCTGGAGGGTGCTCACTGCTCAACCCCCTGCTCTGCCTCAAGCCCTGCCCCCACTCCACTCCTTCCCCTGAACCTTGCATGCCCTCGCTCCTCCCCCTTTCCTCCATAACCTCCTGCATAGGCGCTGATTGGTGGGGGCTGCCGGAAGGCACTGGGGAGCAGATGGGGTGCTGCTGACATATTACTGTGGCTCTTTGGCAATGTTCATTGGTAAATTCTGGCTCCTTCTCAGGCTCAGGTTGGCCACCCCTGGCTTAGCTGATCAGTCTGGCAAACCAGGCTCCTCCACTTTTACTATATAAATCCATGATATGCCCACATCTTGAATATTGCATGCAGTTCTGGTCACCTCATCTCAAAAAAGATATATTGGAATTGGAAAAGGTACAGAGAAGGGCAACAAAAATGATTAGGAGTATGGAACAGATTTCATATGAGGAGAGAGTAAAAAGACTGGGACTTTTCAGCTTGGAAAAGAGACGGTTAAGAGGGGATATGATAGAGGCTTATAAAATCTTGACTGGTGTAGAAAAAATGAATAAGGAAGTGTTATTTACCCCTTCACTTAACACAAGAACCAGGGGTCACCCAATGAAATTAATAGGTAGCAAGTTTAAAACAAACAAAAGGAACTATTTCTTCACACAACACACAGTCACCTGTGGAACTTTTTGCCGGGGATGTTGTGAAGACCAAAATTACAACAGGGTTCAAAAAAGAACTAGATAAGTTCATGGAGGTTAGGTCCATCAATGGCTATTAGCCAGGATCGGCAGGGATGTAACCCTATGCTCTGAGTGTCCCTAGCCTCTGTTTGTCAGAAGCTGGGAGTGGACGACGGGATGGATCACTTGATGATTCCCTATTCTGTTCATTCACTCTGAAGCACCTGGAATAGTCACTGTCAGAAGATAGGATAGTGGGATAGATGGACCATTGATCTGACCCCCTATGGCTGTTCTTACATAAAAATAATAATAAAAAAGTTTAGTACAGAAACTCCCCAAGATAATGACCTCTTGAGATAGTGATGATGTGAGATAATGACCTTGGCAAATAATACATTTTAAAAATCTTGGCCTACTAGGAAATGTATATTTTATATAAGTTTCCCAGTCACAAATCTAGCATTCTGGAGAAAAGTCACTAAAACATAGTCCAAAGCTCTGGCTGCTGTTGTTTGTCGTGCCACCGTTCACTCTACCGCTCCATCCCCAATGGCCCTGCACTGTCATCTGCTGCCACCTGCCACTGTGACCTCTGCGAGTTGGTCTCTCG